CGCCTAAGTGCTGAGATTACAGATGTGCACCTCTCCACCTGGATTACATGTGATAGAACCCAATGCCTCACACTTGCTAGGCAAGCACTCTGCCAATTGAGCCACACCCCCAAGTCCCATCCATTTGATGCCCTGCTCTGAAATGTCACAAGGTTAAAATTTTTATGTCCAAAGAAATCCCAAAGACTAAAGAGCTTTTGCTAATGGAATACATGTGAAAACTGAAGGAGGGAGCTATGAAGGGAAGAGTAGACCAGAAGAGGGTGGGTACAGAGAGCATGTGAGAGGGGACCCAATTACAAAAAAAAAATCATTATGATGTATATGAATGATGTTATAAGAAAACCTACTACACAGCATGCTAGCTTTTTTTAAAAATCAATTAAAAGTAAAATATAAACATCTCTCAATTTGTCTTAAAATATGTCAACATAGTTTTATGCGCTGCCCATTTTTTTTTCCTCTCAAATTTGATCCTACATGGGCAGGGTTAAGAATATTTACTATTCTTCCAGAGAACTCATGTTCAACTCCAAGCACCCATGTAGTGGCTAACAACTGCCTGTAAATTCAGTTCCAGTTCCAGTTCCAGTTCCAGTTCCAGTTCCAGGAAATTCAATGCCTTCTTCTGGCCTCTACAGGCACAAGACATATAAGTGGTACACAGACAGACATGTTGGCAAAAGCATTCATACACATAAATATTTTTAATCAAATTAACCATATAAGCAAAGGGTGGTAAGAATATCTTTGTTCATTTTTTAAAACTAATCATTTTAAAGGTTTATTTTTATTGTATAGTTATGTTATGTGCCTGTATATATGTATGTATGTATGTATGTATGTATGTATGCATGTATGTATACCACATGCATACCTAGTACCTACAGAACCCAAAAGAAGGTATCAAATTTCCTGGAGCTGAATTTGCATGTAATTGTGAGCCATCTGATATGAGTACTAGAAAGTGAACCCAGGTTCTCTGCAAGAACAGCAAGTGCTCTTAACCACTAAACCATCCCTCCAGCCCCTCTTTCTTTTTACGTGGGCACCCCTGCCACTCCACCACTATTACCTGCTTTCACAACACCGATCCTTGTGTTAGTTGGAGATTGTTTTTATTGCTTAATATATCTGACCCTAAAACAGATGCATTGTAGGTGCTGATTGCATTTTTCTAAGAATGGACCTTGCATAGGCAAATGAAGAGATGCCATGTTGTGCTTTCCGCCTTACCATAGTGACTTTATGTGTTGGTGTTCTACTCATCTCTCCTGACCACAACATCCTGTGTGTTTTCAGACTGTTGTCACCTGCTTCTGGAAATGACTCTCTCCTTGGACTTTTCTTGGCTCCTCTGGAAACGAACCCAAAATGGCTTCTCCCAGTCCCCTTCAGAAAGCACACCACTACTTTCTCCGGAGATGGGCCAGCAGAGCTACAACCCAACAGAGCAGCGAGTGGTGTACCCCAACAATGGCATGTGTCACCAGGACTGGAAGAAGGTCTCCAGGAGGTACCCAGGCAACAGCATCTGTACAACCAAGTACACCCTGCTCACCTTCCTGCCCCAGAATCTCTTTGAGCAGTTTCATAGGTATGCAGCCAGGTCCCCCAACCCTACATACTTTAGCCTAGTATTTACCACTGAAACAAACTGAGAGACACTGATCTCTAAGCAGCACCCTTGAATATTCAAACACACATGTGAAACAAGCTTCTCTCGACGGGCGGTGGTGGCACACGCCTTTAATCCCAGCACTTGGGAGGCAGAGGCAGGTGGATCTCTGTGGAGTTCGAGACCAGCCTGGTCTACAAGAGCTAGTTCCAGGACAGCCTCCAAAGCTACAGGGAAACCCTGTCTCAAAAAACCAAGAAAAAAAAAAAAAAGAAAGAAAGAAAAGAAACAAGCTTCTCTCATTGATCAAGTGATAAGTTGTCCTATGATGTGTTGAGTGAGGGGTAGGAATACATGGGGGGAAAGTAAATACTGGACTCATTGTACCATCTAGTGACTGAGACACAGGTTAATATTTAAGTTATTAAATTGGTTAAAAACTGTAATTAGAAAGAAAACTTGCAAGGAGAGGTATATAGTGCCTTCCAGTGAGAATTTGACCTACTTAATAATGTGAGCAAAGGCTTCCTGGAGGAAGTAGCAATTCAGATATGACTGGAAGAAAAGATAGAGGCCTGGGTAAATGACTCACAGGGGTATTGGAAGCTAAAGTGTTTGCTAAGCCAAGTCTGAGGGCCAGAGTTCAGATCCCCAGCAACCCTCAAGGTGTTAGGCAAGTATGAGGCTGCCTGCCTGTAGTCCACATTCTTGGGAGAGGGAGACTGGAGAGTCCCAGAGCAAAACTGGTTAGTTTAGATTAGTAAAATCAGTGAGCTGTGGGTTCAAGTAAGAGACCCTGCCTCATTATGTAAAATGGAGAGTGATGAGGAAGACTTCAAATGGCAAAATCTGACATGCACACATGCATGTTTGCACCTGAAGGAACACGTGCACCCACATACATGTGAACCCACATACCTGTGAATGCATTACATATAACACACCCACACAGGTTTTTTTAAAGAAAGGAATGAAAAAAAAGAAGTGGGGGAAGGGAACCAGGAGAATGTTTGTGCTCACATGGTTTCATGTGTAATGGCACTACGGCAGAATAAATGATATTCACTTAAAAATTTTGGAAGTATAATACATTCTTTTCAAACAATTTTCAAAAAAATCATTATTAATTATAAATCAAATATATACTTAAAATCGCAGCATCTATTGAATTTTGTCATGAATACTTATTAGCTGTTATGCTTCAGAACATGTTAGCATACACAAAACCATTTTTTATGCCACATAACATTTGTAAGAGCCTTTTGAAGTAGTCAGTATGATATTATTCTGTCTTTGCACAAGAAAGAACAAACTTAGGCAGAGCAATAAACTAGTAAACCACAGACAAAGGGGATTGCCACCAGGACTGGCGACCTGAGTTCAACCCCTAGGACCCACATGTTGAAAGTAGAGAATCCACTCCTGCAAGTTGTCCTCTGACCTCCACACTCACACGCACACGTGCACACGCTCTCACACACACACACACACAGAGGGGGAACACACACAGAGAGAGAGAGAGAGAGAGAGAGAGAGAGAGAGAGAGAATAAATACATGTAATTTAAAAATTGATGCTAAAACAAAAAAAAAACTCTATGGCATTTTCCTTCAAGTCCTTTACTACAGTGTTTGACTTGACACTGAAAGAGATGTTTGATTTGGTTAAAACCAATAACTAGGAAGAGATTGGAAGAGTATATTTTTCTCCTTCAGGGTCTTCACTCACACCTTGCTTGCTCCTCCAGGTGGGCCAACCTCTACTTCCTGTTCCTGGTGATTCTGAACTGGATACCCTCCATGGAAGTCTTCCACAGAGAAATCACCATGTTACCATTGGCCATTGTCCTGTTTATCATCATGGTCAAAGATGGCATAGAGGACTTCAAGAGATACCGCTTTGACAGAGAGATGAACAGTGCCAGCATTCAGATATATGAAAGGTAAGGGGACTCTACCATTGTTCTCTCTCTTGCAAACAGGTTAAATAAACTCAGCATATTTAAGGGACTGCTCTTTACTTGCAATATGACTTTTAACTTTATCGTGTGTGTGCGTGCGGGTGTGTGTGTGTGTGTGTGTGTGTGTGTGTGTGTGTGTGTGTTGCAGTTGACATCATCCTAATTTGAGAGAAAACAAAACAAAACCTCTATAGCCAGATATAAAGACAAATATTTAGAGTGTAGTTAGGGATTGTGCTGGTTTAGTTAAGTGGCAGCTGTAGGTTCTCTTCCAAGATCCATGACTTCACTAGCCCTAGGTATGTTCTCAGTAGTGGATGTGATTTTGTCCTTGCTGATGAGATTTAGTCCAATTAGTTACTACCAAGATATGTATGCCACTACTACACTGTAAGGATTATCTGTGCCATACTGGCCATTACTATGTTTCAGAGGTATTACAGTTAGGTAGAATGATTGGTTGCTTCCCTCCTTTAGAAGCTCATGAAAGTTAGTTCTCAACAGCCTTGGAAGTCAATTCCAGTTCAAGAAACCCTGGGCCCTGTGTCTAAAGTGCATGATGTCTCTATAAGTAGGAATTTACCTTCCACCCCAGCAGGAGCCTGTTATGTTTTGGGAATCTGTGACCAAAAACTCGAAAGACAGTTCCCAATGCCTCATGTTGGGGTTTTCATTAGATGCATCTTCTTTGGCTCTTGGCATTGTCAGCTCAGAGAAGAAAACTTCATTTGGACTACATATGTATTTTAAACACAGACTTAAGTGTGTGGTAGGGGTTTCCTTAGGTAGAGAGTGAAAAGTTTGATTCCTTAGGACTGTTTCAGACATTATGTTTTCTTAATTCAGTGATTCTCAGCTGCTGGTGATTTTGGCACACACCTCACCACCACCACCACCACCACCACCACCACCCTGTGAGCACCTGGTGATAGGTGGGGATAGTTGGTAGACAGGATACTACCAGCATCTAGTGGATGGAAGCTGGGGGTGATGGTACACATCTTCATATATTAAATACACAGAGCCACACACACACACACACACACACACACACACACACACACACACACACACACAAATTATCTGGGGAATAAAAGCAAGGCTGAAGTTGAGAAACCTTGATACAGTTCATGGAAATCCTCATATTCTTAGCCACACAGACTTAGTATTATTAAGATAGGACTAGAAGCCCAAGAATTAGACTCCAAGATGATTAGATCACCACAGGAGACTAATTTCCTAAGAAGGTCTTTTGATGGTGTCAGGTGATGTCACAGACACACACACACACACACACACACACACACACACACACACACACACACACACACAAATGCAAGCCATTTAA